TGGGAGAAATGACAGCTGCAAGTCTTTTAGGGTTAGTCTCTACTAACGTTTAACACCAGGATGGTGCAAGTTCTGTCCATTTTTCATTGTAAACCTGCTCAATTGGGGCTTACAGTATACAGTATGTACCACTCAAGTTGATTGGTGTAGTTCAAGTGTAGATCAAGTGTAGTGATGCCAGGATTTTAATTTACTGTAGCAGAAATGTGAATAGTAAATTACTAGAGCTCTTGATTGATTAATTGAGTGTTAGGAATCAATCACACATAATAATTTAGTCTCACACAATGATTCAAAATATACAATACTGAATTTATTGATATAAAACCAAAAACATGCACAATAAACAACAAACATAAAACATAAATTCTGCTGTGTAGAACGTGTATAACCAGTTATAGTTATAGTGTGCCTTATAGGTTTTATCAGTTTCATATAATGACATCCCATTCATATACAAGTAAATGTGCATTTACTATTATGAACTACACAGTCAAATGTATTTGAAATAATAGTTCAACTCTTGAGAATTATAATATGAATAAAGAATTTTTAGATCCAAAGATCCCTTGGCCAAATATCCCCGATGAAGTTTAACCACATATATTGCCACATGTTTGCAGTATTATTGTATATGCTTTATTGCAAACTCCATTGAGTATTTAAAGTTAGGCTTGTCACTGTGCTTACACGGCCTGATTTGTAGAGGGATTGGAATATTGTTAACTCATGGACATTTTCTCCCATCTCAGCCATTGAATTCTGTTGCTCATTCAGAGTCACGGTTGGCCTCAAAGTAGCATCTCTTATGAGTTTCCTCCTTACCTGACTGCTCATTTTGATCAAGGCAGTTTCTGGGTAGTACAGTATAATATGGCTTCCCCTTCTTAATGATCAAATTTACCATGCTCATAGGGATATTCATTGTTTGATTTTTTTTTACCATTCTTCTGCGCCTTTGGACAACTGTATCCCTTAGTTGTGGTTTTAAGGTCCTTAATCTTCATTGTTTAAAAGCTTACTTGAAATTCACTGCCTGACTAAAGGACTTTACAGTCAGGCAAAATAAGGTATGCTTATTCTAAAATCATTGGAACCCCTTTATTGCAAACACTGTGGCTATTCAACTAATTTTATGACTTGTCAAAGTAATTGTTGTATACTTTAAAAATTTGTTTAGTAAGCTGTGTGAATGTATACTTGTATGCAGTCAGCATGTTTATGTTTTTAAGTTTTGTTAACAGAGCATGTTGATATGTAATTTTTTTCACTCATAAAAGGTTCAGTTTGAGCATTGAAGTGTTGATTTAAAATTTTAGCTTCTAAGATTGAAGCATCAATAGTAATTCAACAGAATGGGACACTGTTGGAAGGGTGTTAGCTTTATCCTTCGTAAAGAGAAAAGGCAAGCAGACTCGATTCAGCTCACATCATGTGTTTGGAAACATTTATAGTATAAACCATACTTCTATTAACTCAGTACCTTCCAACAAGTAACATTTATCACCACTTGGAATTTAAAATGATTCAGCTTTTCCTTGCACATTAGATTGTAGTAGTTCCTTCTTGTAAAATGTCAAGACTACTTGCTATACTCACCGTTCTCAGTTCCAAAGAGTTTCTTTATTTTCTGTTTAGTTTATTTTAGTAACTGTTGCTACCAAGGAAATAAATATAAGGTTATTAGCTTAGCAAATCTCAAAGAGCCTCCAGTCATTTTAATTAATTTGACAAGAATGCCAGGACTCTGGCTGAGAGATTTTAGACAGATGGACGAGTGCAGCCTTCACAATTTGCAGCTAACGTTGATGTGAAATGCCTTAAATGCAACATCAAAATGTAAGTAGCATAACAGCAGAACAAGCTAGAACATAATCCTAAATGCTTGAAAATCCAGGACAGTGATGCTTGGATTTGTTATTAGTCTATGTATCTTTACACAAGACCTCACTTTTAGCAAAGAAAAATAAAACAGGCAACTGTCTGAAATCGGGAAATTATCATGTAGGGATGATCTTTTTATTTTCATTTATTTGCACAAACATTTAATTGATTTTAAATTTAAATATCCAGTGGCCATAGTTATCCAGTGAACAAGAGTTTCACATTGAAAGGCAATCCTGTATTGTATATTAAAAAAGACCATTTTAGATACATTTATCCAAGATTTTTTTTTTTTATCCTGCACACCAGCAAGAAAAACGTAAGGTGATAAAGGGTCTTTTATCTTGTATAGGAATCTCTTTTTGCCAAATCTCTTCTAGATTTATCAAGACATGTTATAGTATCTATACTGAATATACAGTGCCTTGCAAAAGTATTCAGACCCTTCCTATAGTGTCCCTTTAAAAATGATGAGTTTACATTATTAAACTTTTTTTTTAAATCAGCACCTGAATGCTCAGTAAAAATGTTTTTAGGAGATAGATTTAATTACCAGAAGTGTCAGCAAAAGCTGAAGAGAAGCTGATGGAAGGGCAACACAGTATCACAGCGGTTTTCCTTCCTGGCATTGCTGGGGTGCTATTTGTACGGAGTTTCTGTGCTCACCCTGTGTCCGCATGGGTTTCCTCTAGGTGCTCTGGTTTCCTCCCATGGTCCGAAGATAATTTGTGGTTTATTAGCTTCTGGAAAAATTGGCCCTGGTTGAGTGTGTCTGTGTATCTGTTTGCCCCGTGATGGACTGGTGTCCTTCCAGGGTGTATCCTGCTTTTTGCCCATTGCTTTCTTGGATAGGCTCCAGCTCCCCGGCTATCCTGTATTGGATATAGTGGTTTAGAAAATCGATAGATGGATGCTGATTGCATAAGTATTCAGACCCATGAGCTCAGTATTCAGTGAACACTTCTTTGTCAGTAATTAAATTTGCAAGTCTTTTGGGGGTAAATATCAACTTTGAACACTAGTTTGATGCAGTTTCTTTGCTCAACTCTCTTGTACTGCTTGGGGTTGCTTATGGACAGATGTTTTCAGGTGCTTGCACAGATTCTCAGTAGGATTCAAATAAGTTTGTGAGTTACTCCAGGGCATTCACTTTCTTTCTTAAACCATTCTGTTTTAGCTTTGACCTTGTGCTTTCCATCATTGTCCGGCTGAAAGGTGAATTTTAATCTAAAGTCTGAAGCAGATTTTCCTCTAAGAGTCACCTTTACTTTGATCCATTTATGTTCCCATCAGTCTTGACAGACTTCCCAGACTGCTGATGAGAAACAGAGGTATAAGATGCATAACATGCTTGACAGTGGGGGTGAAGTGTATTGAGTGATGCTTTATATTAGGTTTGTGTCAGATGTAATGCTTTGTATTTAAACCAGAAAGTTCCAGTTCTGTTTTGTCTCACTACAAAACCTTTTGCCACATGTTTGTTTTATCACTTATGTTCCTTATGGTCATGTGTGATTTGAGATGGGGGTTTTTTTGCAGTTCTATGCATCTCCCTTTGTGGAGTGAAAAAGATACTGTCAATCCGTAGAGATTTTCTACTATCTCAAGCACTAAGTTCTGTTACATTTTTAGGGACTTTGAAATGTGAAAGGGTCTGAATACTTTTGCAAGACTATGTAGATACATACAGTATATAAATTCAAGTTTTATAACTGTTGCAAGCGTTATTTAAAGGGATTTGATTATCATGAATTAACTTATAGTATGGAATATCATGTCCTGGAAAGATATGCAGATTAAGAATTTCTTTGTTGCTAGTGGAACAGCTCTTGCTATGAACAGACTACCAGTTCATCACTGTGGAACTGCTGGTTTCCTCTTAAGAAATGCTCTGTAATTATTATTTCCACATCCATGGTTTATATTGTATTAGTTTATGTGGTTGGAGATTTCTGGGCTCTGCATGCTGTACAGTCACTTATACTGTTAATTTGCCACTATGCAAAGCAATACAGGAAAATGTCAAGCACAGCCTTCCTAATGAATGTTACCCGCATAGATTTGGCATCAGTGTGCTGAGTGATGCTATGCCACATTTTCCTCTGCTTCCTTTATTTCATGTTTCCAATGGGCAGCTGGATCAATTTATAAAATCTGGACAAGGAACAGAAAAGGCTTCTGAAATACAGAAACTATATTATTCTTTATTTTAATTTTATTAAGATGGCTGTTCACAAACTTAGATGTCATCTGTTGAGTAGCGTGTCACCAATTTCTTCTTGTGATTATTGAATCCAGAAAGCGCTCATCTGTTCTGTGTTTCTCCAGGCTGCCAGTATCCATGCCACCCTTTTCATTGAATCATTGTTAGTTTTTCAATGCAGCGTGTAGTGTCAAGAATGAAGGGAACACTTAATAATGTTGTATTTTAACATTCTCTAAGCCACTTCAAATTGCTGTATATGCAGCACCTAGGTCATTGAGTTTTGTGATTTTGACTCTCTGATGTGGTAGAGCTTGAGATGAACTTATACAAATGCAAAACCAATGACTACAATTCAAAGAATTGAACAAGAGTTGCCTGTTCAGGAGTAGCTGTCCAAAAGGGAGCTTTCATATTGTAAATTAGCATTAAACACCGAAAAGACTGCTCTCTATGAATGAAAGAGTAACGTGATTAGGCAAACGGCAACACAATTAAACAGCCTTCAGTAAGATGTTTTTAGGAAAAAATAAAAGTTATGTCGCATGTCCTGTACAGTATCATCCTATTTAATTCGACAGGAAACCATCCACTGACAGAAATGTTAATAAGCTTTAAGGCCGATAGTATGGTGTGCAGTAGTTGATCCTTTGGTTTAACTATAAGGAATGTGGCCTATACTGCTGTAAGAACAGGGCAGTGTTTGTATTAGAGGAGGATTAGAGTCAGATCATAGATTTTGCAACATATGAACATTAAAAATAAAATTGACACAAAATCATCTTAAGCCATTTTTACCATACATGCATGTTAAATGCCCTTTTATTTTCATATTATTGTGCCCATTACCAGAAGTCACTCATTAACCCCATTTTGTTTCATTGCCTTTTATTTTTATTTCCATCATCACTAGGTTGCAGTACAGCCTGGATATGACTAATCGAATGGCTGATGATGAACATGCTCTGATAGCTGCGTATGTGAATCGGCTACAGAATGGCAGACGGTCAGTGTCAGATAATTTGGAAGATTCCTGAAACGTTTTGAATGTCAGTATGTATTTGTGGTAAAGTCTCCAGTTTGCACAAAGTTGGTCTGAAATTGCAGGTAAGATTTGTTAGGTATTATAATAGAAGACCACTGTAACTTGAAACCTAGTTATTATTCTTTTCATGTTCAAAACAATAGAAAAAAAATCATATGAAAAAGCAAAAATGTTGATAATGTAGAGTTAGTTAAGAGCTGTTAATTCTATTGTTACTTAGTTTTTCCAAGTTGTCTCACAAAATCTCACAGAATACAACAGAATAATTCAAAAGAAGAAAAGGTTTCTTATTATTCCTTGTATTCCTATTTTTTGAAGTTACTTTAATTATTTAGATTAATTAATCCTTCAAAAAAGTCATTTAAAAGTTATGTTACACTGCTGCTATCTGAATTGTAACAGCCAGGCGAATGACAGATGTTTAATATTATTTCTTTGAAGACCAATTTCTTGCATTCACTTACTTGTTCCTCTCTAGGATAACTGTGGTATTTAATCCAGACTGATTAATAACAATCAGCATATTTCTAAGACAAGCAGAAGAAACATTTCAAAGAGCATAAACACTGAAGACACTGCAAACATGCACATTTTCATAATATATGTAATAAGTACAATCCTTTGTGTGTCACAATACGGATACTACAGTATATCATCTCAGTGGTGCAGTAAAAGTTTTGCCTGAAAATTTAGATGTAGAAAAAGACCAAATCCGGTGAACCTTTGAATGGTGCAGATTCTATTATACAGTACGTCCAGCATTTGGTGGGTTCCTGGGAGTAATGACAGTATTGTACATCCTAAACTTAATAAACTACTACTATCAGAAGTTTAATAAATGCATATCTCCATTATAAATATAGCTTTGGGAAGCCCTTCTTATCAGCCTCTAGCAACTGTTCATGACTCAGAAGGAAGGAAATCCCAGTCACGTTCAACACAGATGTTGTGTGTCTGCTCTTTTTTTGTTTTTAGTATTTTTTGTGTGTGAACACTATATGTCTATGTGATCACAACCCTGTTTATGCACACTGAATGTGAAATACCTCTTCCTGCAGTTCTGTGTTTCTGAGAATACCACACACTGAAGCACTACTAATTTTCCAATTTACTCTGCCTCAACCTTGTATTGGCAGTTTATTCACTTTGTACCAGCAACATTTGCCACTGTTGTAAATAGAAATAAAATGTTAGTTTTAGATCAAGACAAATCTGGATGTATCAGGTACACAAAAGCACTGTGACAACTAAGATTTGAATTTTTACTTCTATTTGCCACCACCCAACACTTTCACAGTACATACTGCTGCTGTGTAACGCAGTGATAATAGACAGTTTTTTTTTATTCAAGGAGGAATTAAATTCCGATTTCATAGTCTTGCAATCTACTTAATTTAGTAACTTAAGGTATAACTCACACCACCATAGGACATTGGAGCCTATACAGATACAGTAGGTGGCCAAAATAGTGTCCCAAAATTGTAACCTCAGGTTATATGCTTTCCAAATCCCCCCCCCCTTAAAATAATTGGTGAGTGTTAGATAAAGTGGATATCAGCTTGGCAGAAAAAACAAAATTCAACTTCCTTTTTCTTTTTTAAAAAAGGATGAACAGCAGTAGGTTCCTAATTTTTCTTCTATTAGTGAAAGAAAATGCCTTTGGGAGTAGTTAATATTTGGTCCTTTATACTGTGGTATAATGTTTTACTTATCTTTTTTAGTATAACATTGCAGCTAGTTGGTTGATTTGCAGTGACATTTTTAGGTTAAGACTGCAACTTCTTATTTTGATTTTTTGTTAGATCCATCTGGCTTCAATTATCTTGTCAAATGTATTTCTTGATACAAGTAGATCAGTTTGCAATAACCGGCACAATGAGGATAGAAAAGAAGTAACTGACCTTTTAGATTTATCAAGGCAAGAAATAGCCTCTCAGATTTTACTGTATATGCAGAATTGTTCTTTCTTTTCACTCTAGCTTTAGAATATAGACAATAGGTTTATATTTGCAGGATGTGCAGTTACTGCTTTTTTGTTCTCAAAGAACTCAAAACAATGCCTGAAAATAGTTATCTCTAGGTGTGTTTACTAATAATAAAACAAATTAGATACATTCATGGATCCAGTTAACTCTACAAGCAGCAGCCAACAACTTGAACAGAATTTACCATGCATCCTATGAGATCTAGAAATATCTGGAGCTTAATCCTGCCCCATTCCTTTTGAGCAGTTGATTTCAGTTGAAGCTGCGATAACAGAAAGGGCGTTAGGGGCAAAACTGCTCATTTTACCAGTACCATCAGTTTTCCATAGGATTGAGATGTGAAAATAGCCCAAGCCAGAAAGTGTGGCCTTGATTTTTGGGAAAACTCTAGATTATTTATTTTATCCACCAGGATTGTCTTTGGAAAACAGGGACAGTGGCAGCGCCATTACCACTTTGTAGCCTGATCTCTTCAGGAAACTAAGGAAAGCTAGGGCAGGATGGTACAGGGTAGGGAGGGTTTCTGTTGTACATGGAGTTGAGGGAGCAATAGGCAGCATGCTTCTCTCTGCACCAGAATTCCCAAGCCACTGCCCCAGTGTGGTGACAAAGGACACTGCTTTCAGAACCCTCATTCAGAATGAAATGCTAAACTGAGATGCTGACTAATTGGTCATCCCATGGCACTGTTTGTAAGAGAAGGTGTCCTAACACTGGAGTCATGGATTAATGCCACTCTGGACTCTGGAGAAGAATGCCTTTTCAGTTCAATTAGTGAAGCAACTTCTCATTTCTCCACCTGATTAGGCTGTTTAGTGCTTGTTGTCATATACAGTAATGACTACCATGTACCCACATAAAAGGTGGGTGCTGCAGTTCATTGACGAATGAATTAACCTTCTGTTATTTGAGTGCTTTGAGATTCTTTGTAAAGAGAAATCCTATGGAAATGCGAATATTTTTTTTATTCCATTGAAAAATAACCCTAATTAAAAAGCCAATTATATCCTTTCTCTGACTTTTATGTGTCCTTTCAGTAACTGCTAAACCAGTGTGCATCTTCTGTAAATTTACCCAAGAACAACTATAAAATCTGAAGAAGTGCACTGGTTTTTTTTCAAACATATTCACTCCCAGCAATGTCGCATTTTGTTAAATAACACAATTGAGTGGCCTCAGTCTTTGTGCAGTAATAATGGTTCACATGATTTCAGAATAAATGCATCAGTGTCTGTAAGGTTCCTCTGTCAAGTAAAGAATATCAAGCAAATATTCAACCAGGAAGATCAAGGAGTTTTAGAACAACTCAGGGATAGATACTTTATTGTTCACTACTGTGTGAATTTGTCTTTGGCTTCTCCCATAAAAGTACAAAACACAACCAAATCATAAAAGTCACATAAAATCACAAAGTACATTAAATCACAACAACAGTACATACAGTAACAATACATAAATATGTAGTGGGGTGAATACATTTACATGCATTCATTGAGCAGTTTTATTGCACAGGAGACAAATGATTTCTTATTAATGTTTTTCTTTTAATTTGGTACCCTATACCATCTCCCTGATGGGAGCATTACAAATTGAGAATAGAGTGGATGGGTGGAATCAGCTGTGAAAAGAAAAAAAAGGTTATAGAAAGGCACAGATCAAGAGAAGGATTTGAAAACATTCCAAAGACACTGAATAGTACTTTGAGCATGATGAAGTCGATCATTAGGAAGGTACAGTATATCGTACCACCAAGAGAGACAGTCTAGATCAGTCTTGCAAGGAGAAAACTGGCTAGGAATGCCTCTGTCAGGCCAATAGTGATTTTGAAACAGTGAAATGATTGCTTCAGTAATTACAGAATCAAAAGACAATGATACTGTGCAACAAAGCTCAACTCATTCTACTATTTGCATCAGTTGGTTATAAAATCAGGCTGTTCTGTAATAAACAGATTAATTACAGGAAATGCCCAGCTATCTACTTTGGGGAAACTGGAAGGAGACTAGGAGACTGCTACAGAGAACATGTTAGGGCTGTGAAGATTTAAGATTCCTCCAAGCCCACATTTTCTCATTTCACCTCAGACGGCCATGATCACACTGATCTCTCTGTCTGCGTTCTCAAAGAAGGGTTTCTTAATTCCCATAGCGGAAAGACATCAGAAACAAAAATTAACCTGAAACTTGGTTCAAACCTTCCCCCTTCTCTCGATGACAGACTTGTTTTTGTGTAATCTTCTCTATTCACATGCAGGTTTCACCCCTCTCTTCACCTCTACCCACTTCGCACCACCTGAGTGCCCTCTCTGCCTCTCCCCTGCTCCCGCCTCCTCCTCTCTCCTGGCTTTTGTTCTCCTGTGCTATTAAATGTTTGCTGTCTTTCTCACACCCGAAGAAAGCTCCACAGCCGAAAGGTTGTGTTCCCTTTCTTCTCTTTTCAACATGGAGTAAACCTATTACTTGTTCCTTTGCAGCCTGTGCAAACTGACGCAGCTACCCACCTGAACTGCATAATTAAACAGATTCATATGCTAAATCATGAATGGCATCATAAATACAAATATACAATATCAGAAGCGTTTCAGAATGGTGCGCCTACACTGCAAATATACATGAGATTGACATAAAAATAAATTAAATTTCTAAAACAGAAAATTGAATATTGTATAGTTATCTTATCCCCAACTTATAAATGGAAAAGAGTGTAGAGTGCCTCATCTTTTTAGAGAGTTAATGAAATTAGAGAGGTTTGTTATCTTTTTGACACATCTTTTAAAATGTATAATAAATAACGGTTATTACAGTATGTCATAATTTTATGCTTCATGCCTTTAGCAGTATTTAGCATGCAAGGTTTTTGCATTACATACTGTACTATTCAATACAAGAATTTTGCATGTCTGTAGCACTTTTGTGAATCATTAATATTTACAACACTAGTTCTTCCCTAGCTGAAGGGGACTAGCTATGGTCTGTTGCAAAGGGATTTCCTTTATTGCTAATGCAGAAAGAAGGTACAGTACTTAATGGTTAGAGGCTCCCCTTAGAAATAATAAAGACTCTGCCAGCTGCCTTTATCTACTCTATCCAACCTACAAGGTTGTAATAATATCAGGTCACCTTAAAACCAGCTAAGTCTGAATTGTTGAGTAGCAGGGAATGTTTTCTTCCGAGAGAACAGTATTTGCTGAGGAATCAAAAAAGGAAAATATGAGACTGTAATGAAATGCTGCAATGTAAATCAAACACATTGATTGATGGGTTGTCCTTCATGACTTTTTGATTATGCATTCGTGTCTAACAATAACACAGTCTCCAGTGATGCTTTTAATTGATTGTAGAAAAGTAATAATTATACCAAAACTATTGGCAGAGGGGCTAGCCTGAGGGCACATTTCCAAGCAAATCTGTTCCCAGTTTTGGTGACCTGCGTTGTCTGAAGAGCAGCTCAAATATCACGCCTCAGAATCCTAATGGTGTATCCTGGTCTCATGTATTAAAGCCATACTTTCTGTCACTCTCTTTCCTCATCCTTTCTATTGCCCTTGAGCTGTTACTCTCTGAGAACAAAGCCTGGAACAATATTGTAGAAAATTACTTAGAAAATAGTACAGAGAAAATCCATCACTGTGTATTAATAACAAAAATAGAAATGATGTTTATTTTTGATATTCCCATTTATCACGGCTGAAACTCACCCTTGGTGCCCTTGATGAACAGTTAGAACTCTAAGAGGGCTATAACCATATTTCTTCTGGTACACAAAACCAGAAACACTAATGGACTGTATTCTCTAAGCTGTTCTTAAAGTGAATTGCCTTTATTGTGCTTGGCTTTAGTCTAATCTGTTGTTTTTTTTCCACTTCAGGCTCTTTTCTGCAGACATTTTCTCCTTAAGGCTTTCCTGCTACAGCAGTGTTATAAGAGCAGCAGAGCCCCATTCGAATATTTCATTGTTTGAAAGCACAGATTACTTGTATCTACATCTTTCACTTTATATTGTTATGAGCTGAGCTTTGATGCAAAATCAAAGAAAAATAAACATCCCCAGCTACATAAATACAACTTTCATTTGATGTAGAAAGTGAATTTCAGTCACTTGTTCTAAACCTTACCCTAATCAACATTTTACATGTTCCCTACTTGGGACTCCCTGATACAGAAGTGGCCTTTGCAGTTAACTGCAGTCATTCAAGCATAGTTTTAATGTTATTTAAGCAAGATGATTAAAATTAAACTTCTCTACATAAAGCCAAGCTATAGAGTTCTTCATTTCAAAGTATTTGAAAGTAGTTCAAAGGAAGGTCAATTTTTTTTTGTTCAGCATGTGAAGGTACTTTGTCAGCTCTGAAACATTCCAGAATAAAGTGTTTAGTCTTAAAATTTATTGAATGATTAAAAGTGGTGCAAGTAGCTATATTGGTGTTAAATTAAGGAGTGGTTCAACATTTAACCTCCCTAGCAGTTCAGGGGAAAATGCTGTTTGTCACCTTAATGTTAGCAACAGTAAATGTATTCCTTGCAGTTAACTCACTCCAGCAATGCCAGCATGAACGATCAATTTTATTTATCGAGCTTGTCTGTGGTGTAATCTTCTGTTGTACATGAAGCTGTGAACTACATAACTCATGCAGCATTCATCTGAACCCTCATCCTTGCATGTAAAATCATTTTCACAAGGATAACACGTTTTCATTATTTTCTTTGGAATGTCAACCCAATCTGAAGGCACGTAAAGTAAAGCATACCGTATCTTAATGAGTCTGTTCAATAACACTGCGCCACAAATCAGTCTTTAAATGACAATTAAGATGTTACTGAATTTCAGATCCCTAAGTGGCTCAGTCAGTAAAGGCACAAGCCTGAGCACAGGTTGAACTTTGTGATCCAGGTGGCATGGGTTTGAGTAGCCCACTGTGACCAGGATTCCCCAGGCAATGGCGCATGTTTGACTGAACATCAGTGAGGCTCTTAGCGACCCCTGAAGGTATCTCAGGTGTTTCTGGGAGGGCCACCCATTTCTGTTAGAACAGAAGCATCTCAAAGTTGGGCAGGTTGGAGAAGTTCTCCTCCACCACCTCGTTCTCTTCCCATGTGCAGTTGTGGGGACAGAACTTGGGAGCAAAGATGTGAAAAACTGGCCATTCCAAATTGGATGGGTATAGCAAAAAATTGGTGAATCATAATTTAAAATAAATTGTTTCAGGGTAACCCAGCATCTCTGTCTCTATAATTTCCCTAGAGGTACTACTTAACCTTGACACAATGGTTACTAATACTCTCTTTTTATAAAGAAAAGGAAAGTATACAGTCTTTTTAAGCAGTTTTCCCTTACACATAGTGTTATACTTTACTGCTCAGAAGATGTTTTTAACTCACAATTAGTTAACTGATGAACTAACAATTAATTCAGAATTCTTTTCAGTATTAAAAGATTCGATATCATTTATTACTGCATAGTTGGGGAGAGTTAAAAAAAGTTTATAGCAATAAGAACAACATTTGTACGTGTTGGTACAGTAATAGCGAATAAGAGTTTCTGTTTGTGTGACTTCTGATATGCATTTGAGTGTTATCTTCCTGTTTCTCAACAGTGTCCTGGACAGTCCAAGCCGGCTGGATGAAGAGCACCGGCTCATTGCCAGGTATGCGGCCCGACTGGCAGCAGAAGCTGGCAATGCCACTGTGAGTACCCGCTTCTGGACAGCAGTGCGCACTCGGCGCGTTCATGGTTTTCTTTTGCTCGGAGAGTCAGGTTATTTATGGCAGCACTTTGTGAAAAAGCCATCTGCGTTCTTGATTGTGCAGGCCCATTGTTACTCCTGCCAAGAGCTTTTTTTTCCCCTTGCTGCTGCAGGGTTTTGCCATTTCTGACGGAATTAGAAATTAGAGTTTTGCTGCAGCTGAGAAGCTGTAGGACGCCAGACAAGAGCTTTGTCATTTATTCCTGCTAGATGAAGACGGTGCTTCAGAATTATGTGGGAGGGTGAAATGTGCTGACTCTGAAGTGGACCGCCAAACTGAAAGTTCCAGGAAGATTATTTGTCCAGGGACTCTGACACTACTGACTGTACTCCAGCAGTTCGGGACATTCTTTTGGCCTCCGTCTGCTTGGTTCAGGGATGGACAGTCTGGCCATCAGATTGAGGTTATCAGCACCTCCCTCTACTTGCTAGATTGAGGCAAGGAGCTGTTGGGAGGGCAACCATGGTGATGAGTGCAGAATGTGATGCGTCAAACTCTGGACATGTGTTGCTCGTTAGTCTAAATTTCTGTTTAGAGATTTTTCTTCTCTCTTTTAGTTTGGAACACCATTAGAAACTTTTGAGTGTACATTATTATGCAATATGTTGTATTAATTGCTTGATGTTGAACAAATACTCATAGCAAAAAATCTGAATCCACTAATAGGATCTTGGTGCTCTGATGGCACGTGTGACAGCCAGGATTTGATCCACTTGTCAAATTTCCCAATTAACCCCTAATTTAAGCTCAGCCATGGTTCTTTCAGTGTGAGCCTTTTACAATATCATCATGCAGACAAATACTGAACATAGAACTGGAAACAGTACAATTGCTCACGCAAGCAAACTGGGAGGCAGGAAATATTTTTTGGGGAGGGGAAGAATCAATAACATCAATGCGTCTTCCAGTTCCATTTATGGAAAACATTGAGGTCACTACAGCAGTTATGAAAGATAATGCTTTTTACACTCGACTTATCACACAAAACACTTGCACTGTATTAGACTAGAAATATTGCCTATATAAATACTTAGAAAATGAGTAATGAAGAATGTGTTTCATAAAATCTAATTTTATGATGTTAAGCTTTAAAAGCTATTAGTCTGTGGATTGAAGATCATAGATTTTATTTAAATGCTCTGTCTGATGTTACTTTTAACAGTGTTTACTTGATGAACTGAAAGCTTCTACTGATAACTTCTTCAAAAAGTATAGTCCAGCCACGTTGTCCTAAAACATATCTAGAGCTCTGTGTGTTTCATCCCAGACGTAGGCTCTCTGTGCTGCAGAACCCTCAGCTGGCTATGAGGTTTCACTTTGTTTTGCTTCATTTACTGCAATCCTTTCTCTGCAGTGTGAAATGTCTGTTTCTCCCTGCTCAGTGAAAATGGTTAAGCGCTACAAAGGTCTTTCAGTCTTCACTCTCCCCACCCAGTTTCTCAACCAATGAATCAATTACATTTTTGGAGATTTTGCCAGACATCAGAAATCCGAGGAATTGAAGTGCACATTTAACGTAATTACAGTATGACCCCATATGCTGCCTGCTTAATAATGGTTGATATCTTCAATCCTAATCCATTGTAGAATGAGTTATACATTTAATTTGCTGTGACTTCTGCCAAAATCTGCATCCTAGCCTGGCACAATTTAGAACAGGCTATGGCTTTGGTGCGTTTTACATCTTAGCATGTCAGCTTAGAGAGATTTAGTGCCAAGGAAAAAGTCTAAGAAACTTTGATGTCATAAACTCAGAGAGAGAGCTCCTTCCCAACAAAAAAGAGATGTAGTTACAGTATTAGTATAATGATTATAAGAATAATTTCTTTCTCAACTATAGTTTACATTAATAACTGTGCTCCACATAAACCGCCCCAACAGGAACAGTGTATGAGCAACGTCTTCAGATTCCTTCATGGTTGGGTAGTGATCAAATATAATTGGTTTGAGAGGTAAAGAAAGGAGCTTAGTTTCCCAGAGGGGAATTATGATTAATTTCCATATTAACAAAATCTTAATTTCAGTTTTTGCAGTATTCAAAGACCAGCATTAGTTAATGTAATTTGGTATTGGTTATGTTGCTTTTTCTCATAAGAAGAAAATGAGTTAAGCCTTTTATCTTAATTTATTCTATGTAAATTATATTATGCAGTTCAAATTTCAGTAGTATTGGAACATTATTGCTAGGAAATATCAATAATATTGTTATGAACTGAAATAACTGAAAACAAATAGGAAAAAATGTTTTTGTTTTGTTTTCTGGCATTTGGTATCTTCACGTTTACAATAAAATTATTGAGAGAAAAGTTCTGGTTTTGTCTGTGGCATGTAACATCTTGCTAAACAAAACTCCAAAATGCAACTTATAGGAAGACAAAACTTAAATTATAGCAATTTTTCTTTCTTCTGCCCATTTAAATTAGTGTATATATGAGTTTGTTTCTTCATGCATTAGTTTAATAGTTTAACAATGTAGTATCTTTAGTTAGTGCTGTAACTTCTACTTTTTTCTTACAGCAACGCCCTCCAACAGACTTGGGATTTAACTTTGATGCCAACAAGCAACAGAGGCAACTTATTGCTGAACTGGAAAACAAAAACAGGTATTAGTATTATTTTTGTAGTTATTAAATTAACTAAATAATATGATCATTGTTTACAAAAATAAGGAACACAACATAATACAAAACTTGCTGTGTCCAAATCCATTTATTAAATATGACTGAATACATTTAATGGGAAATCTTTTTGGTTTTGTTGTTTTAAGAAAATAATAACTTTTAAAGGATTTCCTGTTTTTTTATTTGCCCAAGATAGACTGTTCTTCACTTGCTTTATTTCCTCCAAGACCAGTATGATGGCCAGTATGATAACAGCACAAATATTTTCACTGGGCTCACAAAAGCTGTGTCCCTTTAGCTCATAATGGTAATAGTATTCCAAAGAAATGAAGAGTATTCTAGTTGTGAAATTACTCTGTTGACTTTTTTTTCTCATTTTAGTCTTCTAATGGCATTTGTCATTTGTTCTATTCTTGAATATTTGGGGGAACATGTTTGGGGAACATGTAATGATTTACCCCCTCATTTCTAAGACAAATGTATGTCAGTTATTAAAAGGAAGCTGCTTGCGAGGTAACAGCACAGCCTGGGTGAACTTGTGTTCAGGGAGATCTTGCAGGAGATCCAGCGACTGAGACTGGAGCATGAACAAGCCTCCCAGCCTACCCCTGAAAAGGCACAGCAGAATCCCACGCTGCTCGCTGAACTCCGGCTCCTCAGGTACCCTCATCTCCTCCACCACAGGCCCCTGCACGAGATGGCAATGTTGTAGCTCTTTCCTTCTCCGCCTGATCCATGTCCAGATGATCCCTGTGGTCACATTACAGCCACCATACCTCACCTCAGGAGGCTGGAGCAAAGGAGGGATTGTGCGTCTGAATGTGCCACATTTTTCTCTCTAGAATTTCATTATACTGCTTGTCACTTGTACAAGGGCTCTGCTGTTGTCGGCTTCATAAAAGATAAAGCCACAGGGAACATTACTCTTCATCAGCCTTGCTCAAAGTCCACATAAATCAATTACAACATAGATTACTGAATGCAAATATGATATTACCTTTATAAAAAGATTAAAACATATTTTTCATTCTTTGTCAGGTGCTGTTATACACATTTTCTGCTACATTGATTTTTTGGTGAAGTGGAGCACATCATTTTCTGTTTTTTTTTTAGAGTTCTTTAATCTTGAAGATAATGAAATTGGTGGTGAACGTTTCATTCAACTATTCGCTATGTACAGTATTGTGAGTTTTGGTTAGCTGCACAACCCAACCTTGCAGAGAAAGCTACTTTTGCATTTCTTGGAAAGTGATAGGTATAAATACACCTAACATACTGAAACAGAAGTGACCGTGTTAGACACTGGAAAAATAATTTAAATTTTAATTCTGCTACGAAACTTACATTTGAGAGACTTTGTGGTTAGATCTTGATTTCAGTTGTTTGTTTTGGTTATATAGAATATATGTTTGTTAGCTACAGTACAGCTTCTATGCTGACACCTTAAAAAACACCTTTAAAACACCTTAAAGGTTAAGTTAAAGAAAATGGAAGACAGTAGTGTGGTCCATTTTGTTTAAACAGACACAAAAATTGTTACATTTTGCTCCATGTTTCCCTCAGCTGTATGTTCTTCAGCACATGTTAAAAAAGCAGAAAATACTGTAGAGTAAATTGGTGGAACAGAGCTGGTGGAAGAAAATAGTTTTTGTATGAAAGTAATTCATCTTCAGTAATGTAGCTGTTATTGCCTTTCATGTAAGAATAAAAAAGTTGAAAAGGGATATTGTTTGTTGCTCAAAGTTTTCTGACTTGACAAATTAAAACCAATTTACATTAATTACTTCTAGGAAATGTATATGTGGGCATGACATTTGTTTATAGTCTCACTGTATACCAATATTTGTTTCTCTTTACTTAATCCACTAAGTTATTATTTGTTTATTGAGTTGCATGTTTTGGAAAAAGCAAACATGAACTGCTTTGTAAGAGACTGTTAGTGGTTTATGCCTGATGTACTCTTCAGCTCACAACCACCTGATATTCAGCAGATTTCTGCAGCCATTAAGATTGGATTAGAACATTTTAAGAGAAAGAACAGTAAGACAGATGAGTTTTCAATTAAAACTTCTAATGTAACAGCAGTTTTGAAGTGCCTCTAATGAGTCGAGGTTGCCTTATTACTTAACTAAAGGCAATGATGAGTCATTTCTCAATGTGTACCTCCTCAAGACAGAAGGTAAATGTTTCAGCATTAGCAATTTTCATGGTTATAAAAAGACATATTTACGGGTATTTTAACTGCTCTTAAGGGCTGATGTGATCAACCTGTTCCCTGCTTGTTTATGATAAGAAAACATCTTTAAATTTATCATGTCATTTTCAGTAACGGTTCCCTTGAAATTAGGAAGTGGTTCTGGTGTGTCCTTCAGCACAGTGTAAATTGTAGAGCTCGTTTGTCTCTTGTATGCCCTTTAACACATAGGATTCTGTCCCACAGGTTCTGGGACAATTTTAGCTTACTGTATGTGACACTTGTAACCATTTATTAACAATGCACCCGTGAGAGGCATTATCTATATTTAGAAAATTCTTATTACGTCTGGATCTATTTCTTTTATACATGTATTTTCACTTACTGTACTTCATATCAGTGATGTTGTAGATAAAATTATCAACCGCAGCTGGTCTGATTTTGAGCGTAATAATGTGAAATGGCAGAAGTAGCATGGAGGTCTGTTGGCTTTTATGAGGTGTAGCAACAGGTGATATCTGCCACATAATTACTAGATGAGTAAAGGCAACACACACTTTAAGCCATGCACTTTGTTTAACCAGGTACTGACAGTGTCCCTCTTTGTATGAAAGAGAATCTTATATGAATGTTGTTTATGTTCTGGGAGGAATATAATAAAATATAATTTCAGTACATTCAGGATAAAGAGACAAACATATTTAATATTTTGACAGCTTATTTCATATTTCCATAAAGTGCTTTTCTCAGTAGAAAACTAAGGTCCCTGCAGTATATACAAAAAAAGGCTTCCTACAGAGATCTAAGCACCTTTTGAATGTTTTTTCCAGCTTTTTCTTAGACAAGAGTAATTCCACATCAGCCAGGAGTGTTTTGCAATGCACCTGGGATGTTTTTATCTCCTGTAAAAAGGTATAATGGCTTTATACCACATGTGCTGTTTTTCATTGCCAGGAAGTATACAAGTCTGTTTTTGAACCTACAGTAGGAAGATCAGGTTAGAATAGAATGGTTTATACTGGTTTCTCCTCTTGGATACTCAGTAGCTCAAAAGACGTCACAGTGTCTCCATTTCTGTGTTTCTCGAACAGGCAGAGGAAAGATGAGCTGGAACAGAGGATGTCGGCTTTGCAAGAGAGCAGGAGAGAGCTGATGGTGCAGCTGGAGGGATTAATGAAGCTGCTGAAGGTAGGACATATTGCATTCAGGCCCTGTTTATGTCCCAACCATCAGCTCCTTGAGCATTTTAAGCAGGGCGGTCTTCTCTGGTTGTCTGACTCACATAATGTATTAAATTATATGCAAAACCAGAATGGCTAAAAAAAGGAAAATATTACTAACAATATAACTATAACTATAACTATAGATATATAATCCCAGCTATACGTCAGGTTTAGGGATCAGAAAGTTGTCACTAATAGCAAATCAACATACTTTGGTAACAGGGAGATTACAGGGTTACAGGGACTGTAAGGGCATAAACTATGCCTACAATGTATGCACTGGCCATGTGATGGGATTTTCCCATAAGAGTCAATGGAATAGAGTAGGGTAGGGCACCGTAACACTAAGTGTGTGTTTTACAATATATTGCTGTGGATACATCTAACATTTTTACACCTTTGATATACTAACTTTTCACTAATTTTATTATCTTATCAATTTCGCTTAACATAGTTATATTTTAATCTGAGTTTAAGCACTCATTTATATGATCTTTCCTTGAGAAGTGATGACTGATTAATTGTTAATGTTACTGCGCTAATTATTGTAACCCATGTTTATTTGGATGCAGAGGTAAAAAATGACAATAGTCACATTCACCATCAGCCACGCAAAATTCAAGATACAATATTTTTTCTAAACAAAAGCCACTAAGTTGAAAACAACATGCTCAAGTATGGAGAGGTTCTATGTTGTATCTCCAATATCTCGGTAACCTTAGTGTAAGGAAATGTATATTGGGGTTGACTTACAATGGGAACCCCATATGTGATGCTGGTGCACTGAAGGGGTCTGACTCTTAAACAGTCAAGATTGCTTTGTTCTTTTTTGCTTAATATCAATAAAAAAATATGATCATCATCTAACATTAACCTAAATCCATTTACTCCTTTCTTTGTACATTTGGGAATTATTCTTCTAGAAAATGCATGCGGTACATTTCCCACTATTTAAAATACCATAGGAAACGAGTTCTGTGCTTCTTTGTTTCATAGAAAACCATTGTGTTTCATATATTGAAGGTTACAATAGCTGGATCTCTTGAATTGCTTTCAGCATTCATTGTTTATTAGAATAAATAAACACGATTTGTACTTTTTATTATAAATATAAAGTGACCACAGAGTGCAGTGATCATGCACACACTTCCTGTACACAGAGTGCTGCAGGAGTAGGGCTTACACTGTCTCTCTCTGCACGGAAGCTTTTGTGTCTGTCTAGCATTTCGGACACATGTGACACTTGCCAAACAAAACCTGAAAAATGGAAGATAAATAATTTAATGAAATCATGCTGTGAATTATATTGTGAGGTGAAGGCAAACTGTGTGATAAAATGAGTGAGGGTGAAAAATTATTACTAAAATGGTGCCATCATCATGTTGAGATGTTTAAACCAGTAAAAGCTGGTTCATTTGGGAAAGAAAGCACTTAGAGCTTTTTGCATAGAGTTGGTATTTGCATGGATTTTGGTATTTGGTAATAAATATTAGCAACCACAAACCTTTGTTATCCTATTTTAAAGCCTGGATTTCATTTTCAATAGCATTGCATTATGTTTTGTTTATTTAGGAGCTTCATCATTTTTCCATCTTTCATATGTTCACTGTTCGTTCTGTTTCACTGCAGTATGGTGGAATGCTGTGCGCCTAACTAGAAGCTGTACAGCTACCTGTGAAAAGCACACACACAAAGTGAGCCCCGGACATTATTGTAAATCAGTTATTTCTTCTTTGAAGACAGGAAAGCAGAGCTTTCCTAATAAGTTATAGGAAGAAAATAAGTCAACATTATATAGATATAACACAATACATTCAAGGCAACATCCTCTGTTGATAATATGTCTTAGAAAGCTCAGTTTGAATCAACGTTGAGCTCTTGTGAGATTACAAAGTAGTGTGGCATTCCTTTCAGTAAAATGTCAGTGTTCTCTTGTTTAACTTCATCACCATAAGAAATTCCCAGAAATGTCCCAGATGAGTTCGTTTTCTTCACTCAGAGAACACACATCATACTGTAGAATTGCCCTGCCTTCAAATTACTGTTAAATTGCTGAGCAGTCAGCTGAAAATCATTTGCCCTGGGATCTTATGTCATTGTGAACATCATACAGTACACATACTATAGGAAAACTGTACATATTTTTTCACGAGATCCAAAAGAAGATTGTTGAAAGCAAAATTAGAATAAAAAAAACCCATGATCTGAGTATTTAGAAGCAGAACTGTCTTGGAGATCTGTGGATTGTAGCCATACATATACAATTGAAAGTTCCCTTTGTTTTTAGATATGGTTGCAGTGTGCTGTTTGTGGCACTAGAGGGCATTATTTTCCTCTCGAAAGCCAAATACCCGGTGGGATATTTTTTTAAAGTCTGTGCATAATCACTGACTCATTAAAAGATTTTATTGAAAATGTGTTTTCTGTGTTCCTGTATTTCTTGTTTATATGCATCTCTGTGAGATTTTTAACACCTACAGGAGTCTCCAAATGTGTTCAAATTTACACTCAGTAATTTTTGATAGAAAAAGCTTAAGCCTCTTAGGGGTTTCAATCTTCTATATACAGTATGCATAGAATGTGTATTCTAACACTGTCAAAAATAGTAACATATATTTCTATACTCGAGATATTCAGATGTATTCATACCCTTGCAATCACTATTTTGTTGACCCCCTTTTGGGTTTTAGAACCCTCAAGGTTGCCCAACCTGCACTTGTGATCTGCTTTCCACAGTTCATGCTGTAAATGTGCTACTAGAGACTGTGATAGCTAATCAGGAGAGACAGGACACAGATAGAGATAGCTCATTTTTATGAGTTTTCTTGAACTTTCGGGCTCTTAAACTTTTGGATGTTGAGTTTCATGTTGTTGAGCTTATATTAATACCCTATTGCAATGTCCAAGTTGACAGCAGCATTACCACCTTCTGTCCTGATCTCGACAGATCTCAGAAGCTAAGGCAAGCCTGGGCCTGGTCAGTACTGGGATGGGAGACCTCTCATGAAAACCAGGTTGTTGCAGTAAGTGGTGGTGGTGGACCAGTAGATGGCACTCTTCATTCTGGACTGGAATTTCCAAAAACCATTGCCCCAAGTATGGTGCCCAGCGGCACTGTGTTGTGTGAGGTGGTGATCTTCGGGTCAGATATTAAACCAATAAAAGATGCCATGGCATTATTTGTAAGATTAGGGGTTTTAACCCCAGTACACTGGCTAAATGGCATTTGAGCTGCCTGCTTCCATTTAATTCAGTTGGTGAAGCAATTGCTCACTGCCTAGTGACACCCATCACCCAGGTGGATGCTATAGTTCAGAAACTGGAAGTAGTTTCCTTTCCCCTGGTAAAGAACTTTGGGGGCATTAAGCACCATATACAATAAATGGCATATTTTTTTAATTGTGAGCTTCAACTTTCTGTGCTTAATCATTATTCTGATGAGATCGTCCAGAAACTCAGTTTGTGTTTCATGCAGCTACATCATGTGATCCCACTCATTCACTTCATGCATGTCTTTTTTTGCCATTTGCTTTTGTCTGTTATTTCTAATTTTACAATGCTTGCTTTACATTAGACAGCTTAATTTACAGTATATACTGTACTATTAAACAAAATGGCAAAAAATGAAAAATATCATTCTCACTACAGTAAATGGAATCATTATTTGCAGGCAAGATCTTTTGTTTCATTCATGCCCTACAATTCTAATTCAATCAATTACAAACTCCTCTAAGGCCTGAAGCAGTTATTTTAAGTAACTGAATAGCAAAATAAATGGCATCTTTTTTTAATCATGAGCTTCACCATTCTGTGCTTTATCATTCTTCTGATGAGATCATCCAGAAACTCAGTTTGTGTTTCATGCAGCTACATCATGTGATCCAACTCGATTTGGGAAGCCATTATTTTTGGTTTCGCAAACTGTCTTGGAACTCAGTTACAGACCCCAGTTTCAGGAGATCAGCCATGAATGGTGGCTTACTCTTGCTGACATTGTACCTTCAATGATGCCAGAGTTTTCTGATGATTCCCAGTTGTTGCTCATGTGATGCAAGTTATCCTCCCAAATCACTTTTCTGATTTTGCAACTCTTCCTGGTGGAGTAGCAACCACCCCATTAGCCTTGAATTTCTTGGTTATTGACACCCCAGTTGAAAAGTCACTGTTTTCAAGATTTTTATAGCTGTCATTAGCAATAATTAGTAGAGTTATTAGCCTTAGATCGAACTCAGGCGTTCCCTCCAATGACGTGATTCTGAATATTGTGCTTCTGTGTCCATACCTCGTGACTTCAAGAAGCTTCTATAAAGCTGAACATTGTGTAATTAGAAATATATGTGATTTGTTTTTTTTAGTGTTACTGTCCATATATGTAGTACTTCTTGTCATACTGTACATTTCATCACATTTAAATTACACATGTTTAAGTCACATCATATACACCTTGCGTTTCTGTTAGATCAACTTTGACTTCCAGTTAATCAAGAATATCAATAAATTTGGAGACTACTGTATTTGTTGCTACTGTAGGTTGGTTCTCTGTTTATTGTATTTTCCTCTCCTGTTGTTTACGTTGGCCTTTCATTACTCTTACCAAATTTTCATGTTTCTCTTGTTGCCTCCTTTGACTGCTGACTGATAGGATGAAGAACAAAAACAGGCAGTAAGTTTATCCTTTAAGTGTGTACTGTAATTGCTTAACAAGCAAACTGCATGTCCTAAACACTTGGAATGACTCACTTGAATGGCTGTAAACATTTTGCTTAGTTTTCAGTTTTTTTTTCTCCTAGAGCATCGTATATAATGCCATTTTGCATGTAAAAAAGATTTAATTGGAATTTGAAAGTGAGGCTGTAGTTATTACTTTGAGATTTTCTCAGATTGGTCTAACATTAAAAGAACAGTTGTCTAACGCAAGCGATATTTTGAGTAGCTCCAGCAGTTTTGTGGCATCTTTACTTTTAAATGTACTGACATTAAAGATGTATAATAGCCGTTCACTTCATGCATGTCTTTTTTTGACATTTGCTTATGTCTGTTATTTCTAATTTTACAAGGGTTGCTTTACATTAGCCAGCTTAATTTACAGTATATACTGTACTATTAAACAAAATGGCAAAAAATGAAAAATATCATTCTAACTACAATAAATGGAGTCATTATTTTCAGGCAAGATCTTTTGTTTCATTCATGCCCTACAATTCTAATTCAATCAATTCCAAACTGCTCTAAGGCCTGAAGCAGTTATTTAAAGTACCTGAACAGCAAATAGATAATCCTGTAATATAAAGGACCATTTCACATAAATCCCATAGCACTCAGATGAAAATACTCTGCAGTGCATTGTGCATCTTTAACTCTGAGCACATTTTTCTTAATTGAAAAAAAGAAAAAAAAAGATAGCAGTTGAAGCCTAAACTGAAATGTGACACTGTGGAAGCATAAGCTCTGGCAGATAAGCCAGTACTATAACTTAATTATGAATCGCGTGAGGCTCCTAAGCAAGTTGAAATGTAAGATGGATAGCAGGGTAATTAGAACAAGATTTAACAAAATAGTTTGAACTGTTAGAATATAAGAAAGGTTATAAACAGGAGATGTCCATTAGATCTTGAATGAAACCATGGTTTCAAGCAAGTGGCTGGATTTCTTGTTATATTCCTACCACTCTCTGTGTAAAGAGGATTTTCCTGTTCTCAGCTTTAGCTATGTCCCTTTGTTTCATTTTTCCATTTTGAATCCTTCATGATTTCTTGCATTTATGTGTAGCAGTGAATATCTGCTACACATAAATGCAATACAATATGTACAATAAATATTGTATTTATTTATGCAATAACTTTATTACTAGAAAATTAATGCATAGGATGAAAAAACAATAGAATAGACAAATAGGGATGTATTTAAAAAGAAGGATATTGAGTCTGTTTACTTATAAGCAGATTTATGTCTGGTGTGCAAATGATTATTGGAGCCACTACATACCACAGACTAATATATATTTCCTGAAAAATATTTTATGTATTGGTACAAAACTAAACAAGTACCTTTGATTTGTTTTCCCTTTCTTAGCTGCAATGAAAGTGTGCTGGAAGCTAATTTTTAGTAACAGACAAGTTTTTAAAATAACTGTTTCACAGCTCACAGCGGGGGTGGGATTAGCAAACAGAAAATGTTGAGAAAGTTAATTCACATCTGTGCAAAGTCGAGTTCTGTGCCAGGAAAAACAGGGAACCTGGTTTCAATTTACCATCAATGATTACTATGTAGAACCAAAATAACACAGTTATTATCTCCACCTGTAGTGCTCCAGCCCTTGCATGGAAAAGTAGTTCGGAGTCTTGCAGGAGATCTGTCTGCCTGGGTATTAACTCAAGACTGGCCTAGCACGCACCTCCAATAAGCCAACGTCTCTCAAAGGAGAGTAACTGAACTTAAACATTCAAATGCAACCTTAAACCTCAGTCTTATTTTTGTTTTTTTCTCCTGTGCAAATCTACAACACCTGTTAATAAGAGAGACCTGTATCCTGAAACTACTTAGAGGCCTTGTCAGTCTTCTACCCACATGTCTCCCTCCCATATAGCAACTAAGGGCCTTGCTGAGATTTACTGCCACTCAGTGTTGGGGCACTGTGTTCAGTTCCTGGGGTGCTATCTACGTGAGGTTTGTAAGTTCTCCACATGTTTGCGTGGGTTTCCTTCAGTTAGTACTAGTTTCCTCCCAAGCCCAAAGACATACTGGTAGGTTAATTGGATGCTGGGAAAAATGGCCCTGTTGTTAGTGTGTGCATGTTTGTGTTTGTGGGTGCCCAGTGTTGGACAGGCATCCCATCCAGGGTGTACCCTGCCTTGCACCTGTTACTTGACGAGATTTCCCCTCAATTCTGAATTAGACAAAGTGGTTAGAAAATGGACGAATAGATATAGCAAGCTCTTTATAGAGCTTGTAGAACACTAACTCAAGAAAGCCAGTTTTCCATCCATTGTCAGATTATTCCTGCCTAAGGGTCATGGTAGCCTGGAGTCCGTCCTGGAATCATAAGGCACAAAGTTGGACCACATGCTAGACAGAACGCCAGTCCCTTGCAGGGCACATTCGTCACATACAGAGAAACACAGAGGGACAATTTAGAGAGATCAGTTACTCATGGCTGTAGAATTTGTAGACAAATCTGGAATCATAAACACCAGAAAGGAAAACATCTAAATAGTGCTTTTGAATGCATCTCAAAACAAACATTGCTAGCGCTAACACTATTTTTTACTCAAATGCCTTGTGGTTAGTTATTATCCTGAATGTATTTTAGAATCAGATTTTAGAAATCCAAATGAAAACACAGTTCAGCCTTTACATCCTTTTCTTGATTACAGTAAATGCAACTGACCAGGGTTTCAAATCAATCATTTTTTCTGTGTTCCCAACCACAGGCTTGTAATTTGTTGTTCTGTTTTCAAGTGTGTCTTAAGTATTTTCCTAAATTGCGTCACGTATCATAATCTTTCAATGGAAAGAGAGAGGTTTGTAGTGTGTTCAACTATGTACTCTGCCTTTTTAATAGTATTCCGCTTTGTTTCACTATAAAGTGTACATATTCAAAATCCAAAAGATATTCCTGTTCTGAAAAGAAATGTAAAAGGAATCAGTGTAATTCAAACATTGCTAGAATTGGTTACTGGTTAGTTATTTGTTAACAGAAACAATATCTTCAGGGCCAACAGATAAATAAGGTTCCAAGGACCAGAAGCAAATTGAACTTAAAGGGTGTGTAATGCAGAATGTAAGAAGGTATGACTTTGCACAGAGGAAGTGCTTGGAAATATAGGAATCCAGTTCACTGGGGACATGCAGGACTCAATTTGATGAGGACCTTAGACCAAAATGCCAAGATGGACTAAAAAGTTTTCTTTTGTAAGGTGTCTTATGTGATCTCTTCTCAGTGATGCACCTGAGTACAAGGAGATATGATTCACATTTGACATGAAGCTCAAAGAACTAATTAAGGAATATGTGATATAAATACAAAAGCTCGGCACCTGGATCCTAAAAATAAGGCTGAAACCTATGGATTTCACTATCGCATTGATCCCAGTTCATTTTATCTTAGCAAACAAACCACTGCAAAATGAGGCTAATTATGCCCAGTGGCCATCTGCTATGTGGCAGGCTGCCATGTGCCCAGGACAGATGATCATATGGACAAAGTGCCCCTTTCAGTCTGTTGCTGAGTTACAGTTTTAGCAGCATTAGTTAATGCCAGAAAAAAGACAAAGCTATTAGCTTTTTTTTTTTTGCAAACAAGTCTAATGGTGTTCTTATCCTTTTAAATTTCAATATGCTTTCAAGCAAAGACGTGTGCAAATCATTAAAATAGGCATTCTGTACATTTGGGTGTCAGCTGTGTGCAACTGAGTTGTGTTTTGAGCCTGGAAATCTAAATATGCTTCCCTTTTGAAGACAAATCACCATAAATTATGTATTTGTCTTAGACAGCTGAAAGATATCTTCTTTTGCTTTTAATGGTTTCAGTGGGGTTGTTTTTTTTGTTGTATTTCTAGCAAAATATTACTCTGAAGCTTTGCTAGCACATTTGTCAAATCCACAAAGAAAACTGCCTTTACATTTCTGATTAGAGGCACAGTCTGCATCTGTACAAAGACTTTAAGATAAAGTAACTGAAGTTTCTTTGTCCTTTTGTGACCTTGTTCATGTTCATTGGCCGTTTCACAGGCTTTTGTATCACAATGAAAAATGATATTCAAGTTGAAATAGATGGTTTGCTCTCTAGTGTAGTTTTGTAATGTGGAATGGTAAGCCTGTTGTCTTGTTATGTCAGGAAGTACTGTAAAAACCATAGCAGTGTTTTATTGATTTCTTTAGTTGTCCCCTAGCTTCAGTTGCAGTTTTAAACCCAAATGAGTGAAAAGAGAGAAGGAAATCCTATGTCCAGTTATGAATCTGAAACTCAATGCCTTTGAAGTGCTCAAAATACATTTTAGCTTTCGTATAACATCCTTTATCCTTTACAAATCTGTTCTTTCAATTAATCCCATCCATCTATGGCACTATTCTCAATCTGTCAATATTACATAAACAAATGTCTGATGCTTAGAGTTAATTTGTATATCCAGTCTGTTACAGTATGATACCTGTATGTGAACAGTTGAGAAATTACGTATGGTAAGAAATGTGTCCCCGACAATGCTGAATACCATCTGGTTTAATTTTTTTTTTCATAGGGAATATGCAAATGACACATTTTCTGCTATAAAATACTTTGGACTACTATCTTGTTTTAAATGTATTATGGCAAAAGATTTTCCCCTTGGAAATTGTGATTTTATTGTCACATTTATGTTTGTCAAGAAAGTAGTAAAGAAGCTACATCTGTTTTGCCTGTTAATACTCACTGGAGCCAAAAGAAATACATTTGAGTGCAAAAGTTGAGGAACCCCTGGTCAAATTGGATGTTTCAGCGAATCTCTGTTTGAAAAGAAGTTGACACATCCTCTGTGTAGTAGAAACTTAAACATAACATTTTTCTGCAATTGTAATGCACAATTATTATTTATTGGTTATTTTAAATGATTTCTCTACAGGAAAGACAATACAAGCCTTTGTCTTTAGAATTATGGGAATGTACGGATTATAATATTGTACAGA